CATGGTTCTACCCAAAGAACGCGGAACGTTTAGTCCCAGGGAGGATACTTTTCAAGGAGCTGAAAGGTTCCTCAAACTCAACTGTGTTTCCGCCTCCACCGAAGATTAGGCAAATTAGTCCGCTGACGTAACTAGTCGAGGCAGACGGCCGTCCACCCAGAGCCGGGGTCTGCTCGAGGTTTCTTCCTCTTAAAGGAACTTTTTCCTCGCCTTTTCTGAGTGTTGTCTCATGGTGGGAATTGTTGGATCTAAGTATCCTGATATAACTTCTGTTATGATTTGGCGCAATACAAATAAAATTACATTTAATTGATGTATGAAAAATCTGAATCTATTATCTGAATGATAAATAAATGAGCCTAACGTTGCTTTGTATAACTTGAAGTTTGTGATCAGCGACCCTTCTCTCACTCCTCAAAGTGTGATTATTACTCTGTACAATCAAACTCATGACAGAGGGGCTTTTGAATGCAGCTACCAGTATTTCCATGGAAATCATCAGATTTTTATGGTTCATATAATGTATTTTTGTTTTCTATTCGAATTCTCATTCTTCCTCCTGCATGGATATTTTTGTATGATTTAATAAATGTGTTTGAAATCCCATGTAATCAGTATGTTTTAAGTTCATTTGATTACCTTCCACATGTCTTTATATATGTTGATTTGTGTCTACTTGGGACATGTAAATTGCATATAAATTTAAAAAAACTGTCACTACCATTACAATTTGGTGATCTTGGAATTGTAAGGTTTTCTAAGGTTTCAGCCTGATATTAGATATTTATTTATTTATACGCAGTTTTACAAGCAGATCTTGTGAAGACTGATTGTTGAAAAAGATTCTAAAAATGCAAATTTAAAAGCTAAAAAAACAAATAAAATTGCCCCAAACATGCAGTAGATAAAGCCGCACAGTTCCAAGCTCATAACTGTCAAACCTTTATATGTTTTGGTTTCTTTTCTCTGTCCACATGGTTGTAATTCTGTATGTAAAGTCTCCATACACTTCATGAACTGTCCTGATGGCACTAAGAAATGAACTTTTTCCTTCACTTTTCTGAGCAAATACTTCAGTTTCTGTGGCTGTGATGGACTCGCAGACAAGACATTGAAAAGTGGTGTTTTTTAGACTTTGGTGTCCCCTTGTATAAAATCTAATAAAACACTGTTATCATCTAATTTCTCATAATTCTCATAACTGTTATGTTTAGAGATGTAGTAAAATGACAATTCCACTTGTTTCAGTATACTGAATTCATTAAGCATCAGCAGGGGTTTATTTTTATGAGTTTGAACAAACTCAATCACAGAAAAATAGGGTTTTATCCTTGAATACATTGAAATAAAGAGAGGGGAAAAAAGCACTATGAACTAAATCACCTGCCTACAAACTGCTGGCAACCGGTAGCCAAAGTGTCACTTTACTCTGTCATGTTATGTAACATGACCATCCACTGCTGTCAGTGATGCACTTTTCCAGTTTTACAGCATTTCACAGTTTCAACAGACGTTAACATGTTTCATTGAGTCTCCTTCCTTCCTGAGTTTGGTTGTGAGGTAATAATAAGGACAATCATGATAGAAATAACAATATTAATATTAGCACTTATTAAAACTATCATTATGAGGTGCTTTACATATAAAACCACAGAAAATAGACAGTACTGTATGAATAAACATGAATAAGAAATAATTCATGTTAAATAAGACTAAAAACCATAAATAAAACACCAAGGATATAATCTATATATGTGAATATAAATAAACCTAAAAATGAAAAGATAAAATATAAAGTCTTCAAAACAGAAATGTGTCCTGAAATATTTATTTTTTACTGTTTTTTCTCATGAAGGCAGATGGATGTCTAGCCTAAACTAATTATTTTTATTCTAGATGAGCCACACCCCCTGAGAAACTTCACCATGTCACGTTTTATGCCTTTAAAATCAAATTTTGTTTTCAGTTTTGTTTAGAAAATAAAGCATTTAAAGAGGAATATTATAAAAAATACACAATAAATACAAGTTAGCTCACAAATGAATGGGAGTGTTTCAGTAGAGGGGGATATTGAGCAGCTCAGATTTAAAGGTGCACCTCAGGCTCTGTAGCATTTACTGACTGCTCAGAATACAAATACTGGCTGTTATTGGTGGCGGCAAACAGTCGGTGCAAATACTGAATTTAAACATAATACAGTAACACAATATAACAAGAATGAGCTTAACTTGCCTCAGCTAAACTGAAGTGTTCATGGGTGGCACTTAAGTTTCTTTTAACACAATTAAATGTTAAACGTACAATATGTCATTCCTGCCCCAAACAATAACGAAAGGTGAAGGAGGTTTCTACCAGGAGCTAAATCATCCACAGAGGTCTCCTCCTCT